ACTAAAATGTGTACTCCCGCCTGCCCCCCCCCTCTCAGAGCCCAAGATTGCAGAATTTTCAAGGGCCCAAAATACTGAAATGTGCACTCCCGCCTGCACCCCCGCCCTCTCAGAGCCCAAGATTGCCTGGGAGTACGCATTGTACGCATTTTGTGACTTTCAAGGGCCCAAACACCAAAATGTGTACTCCCGCCAAGATTGCCTAGGAGAACGCACGTGTACATGCTGTTGGTCTTCTTCTGCGAAAGCAGCCTTTTCTGCAGCCACATTCAAAAGTTGTCGGGATCAAAGTAAATCCTTGTCACTGTGAGAAAAAAACCTGTCGTAGTAAGACAAAACCTGTCATGGTACCAGCGCCCTATTGCGCGAGTCAGGATCATGGAGCATGGCATAGATCACCTAGAATGATACATACATCTTTGCGAGGTGTACGACTACAACTATAACAGCGCCTATATTCACTCCACCTCTCCTCTGTGAGTAGAAGTAAGAAGGAAGGGAATGGTCAGCACACATGTCGGAAGTAGCTGGGGCACACGCCCGGTCCTCTCGGAGTCTGTGTACGGATGCCCTATACATGTGCATACTCAACACCACGGAGCCATCAACAATGAACCCTCTTAACCTTATGCACAAGTTAACCACAAATCCTAAGGCCTGCTGGTGCCCTGTTACAAGCGAACAAGGGATTTCAAGGTGGAGTACTCCTGTTCTGAAAGGAGATTATGGCAATTCTTTCCAGGATCTCCAGGGGAACATGCAATGTTGTTGCACTCCTTGCAAGGATCATAACAGCTTTTTGGTGCTATTACGCGTTCAACAGCAAGATACTAACGGTGGCGGCAGCAGATTCTATGAGCCATGTATTCCGCTTGATGAACTAGCTGTAGACATGTTTATTGTTGCGTTGCTTCTGGCTAAGAAAACGTTGAAGTTACGCATTTCAATGAAGTTCCTTCCTGTCATTTTAAACGCTACTCTGCCGACAACTACTCAAGGTAGGCCGAGGGGCCGCTTCCAGCGCAAGAGCATTCAGAATCACGTCAGTCAAAGACTGCGTGGCCAGCAGAAATCTCAGGCCGCAATACAGCAGAGCCATGGCAACTAGCACTTTCCTGAGTTGCGGTTCCCAAGAGGTTATATAGGGATAATGGAAAAGAAAAGGGAAACTATAGGGATTATAGGGTTTATATAGGGGTCGTATGTGGGGTTAAAAAGGGATGATGGAAAAGAAAATGGAAACTACTATTTAGGCAGCCCTCCAAGAATATATACCCTATTACAATATAGTAGGTTCCACTTTCTTTTCCATTATCCCTATATAGCCCCTATAATAAGAATTAGCAGCCAAAAAAGGTGAAGGAAATCTTGCACCACATACGATTAAGCTACTGTAATTCCTAGGATTCGAGGTGCCAACTGCTTCTTGTCAACATATCTGCATGCACATTTTCCTTTCATGAAACCCCTAGAAGGATAACCCAGCATCTTGAACATGCAGCAGCTGTTTGGGAGCCTCACCTTTCAATTTAAGACTTCAACCGCCCATGATTCAGGATCCCATTGCCAACCTGCTAGGCTTCTCCAAGCTATGTGCTTCTTGAAACTTCCTGAATTGGCAGACAAAAGGAGAAGACTGGTTGAGAAATACTATCCTTTCGAACAATGCCGCATGATGTTGCAGCAAAGGAGGTTGCTAAACAACGTCAACATGACATACCTTCAAAAGCGTCTGTACGCGAATAGAATGCTTGATACGTGCACGTAGCTACGTGCTTCCCCATAAGCCTGTTGTGAAGTCTGCATCGTTGTACAGGTGCTTCCGACTATTTTGTCAAGTTTCGGAACCATCACCGTCAGCATCAAGGCGAATCGAACCGTGCAGCTGACTGAGTGGACCTTGTACTTTGAGGGATCCCAGAATGCCCAAGTTCAACATTCAACCATATTCTTGTGATGTAAAAAAGAAGGCATAGAAGATGTTACCTAACCCACAGGCAACCCAAAGTAGTGTACTGGGTTGCCTGAGAAAAGATGCAATACTCTTGGACAGTACCATGTGCAGTTGTCTTGCCATCCCACCTTGATGGTCTCAATCTCTCCCAGCTCATTTTTGACATACTTCCTCAGTGTCACATGCAAATCTGTCAGTCTGTAAATTCAAGCACTTATGGAGTTGTCCAGATTACGACAAACGAAGGCATGCCATAGCTTTTGCAACCACACGCCTTCACGGGACTCAAGCTTTTGAGATATTCGATGTTGCACGCATGCTTGGCCATTTCTACCTGATCATCCCGGCCATTGCCCAGAACATGTCAAGGTGCTCTTCGCTGGACCTCTTCGGCAAGAAGTGTGAGACTCTTCTTCCCGCTGACAGTCCCTGACAAGAGCCTACACCTCAACATACCAGAAGCAGCTGCCGAGGATCATTCCCTCCGTCGGAGACTGGCCCAAGGGCAGCGTCTGGAGCGCCCACCTTGACTACCTTCTACTTAGGAGCCTATCAGAAAAAGCGCTTCATACGAATTCGTAGGTGTATTGAACGTGGGGGGGAGATGCAACCAGATTAAGAATAAAGGATACGTTCTTAAGGAGAGTCTAGCTGGAATGGTCAACGATTCTTTTTGGTCTGACGGTCCACTTCCGACTGAACTGGCCGAATACCAAATGTCATCAGCAACGCAAAACACACAATCCAAATGTCTGGAACAAACTGTTCGCAACATTTAGCTGTTTCCGTCATGAACTCCTTCTATGTGGGCTTTGATTTCTGGTTTACCATTCCAGTAAGCTTGAAGCGTTTCTCGAGGCAGATTGTGAAAAGTCGATTGTGAATTTGAGCATGGCAGCCAAGGCACATGTTCTTTGTGAGGTCAAGGCTCCGCTGGATTTCGCTGATCATTCTGCAGGGGTGACTACACGAGTCTTAGCTCTGGAGGTTATGTACAAAATACATTGTCACCAACCATCTCGCAAGTTTGTGCGCCAGTGTGCTGTCGGACTGCTGTCGGCATGTGCTTTTCCTGTCCCACATAAGAAATCACTGGTGTCATTGGTGGTGGTGGCGGTGGTAGTGGTTGTGGCGGTGACGGTGACGGTGACGTTGGTGGTGACGGTGGTGACGGCGGCGGCGGCGGCGGCGGCGGCGGCGGCGGCGGGGGTGGTGGTGGTGTTGGTGGTGGTGGTGGTGGTGGTGGTGGTGGTGGTGACGGCGGTGGTGGTGGTGGTGACGGCGGTGGTGGTGGTGGTGGTGGTGGTGGTGGTGGTAACGGTGGTGGTGGTAACGGTGGTGGTGGTAACGGTGGTGGTGGTGGTGGTGGTGGTGGTGGTGGTGGTGGTGGTAAC